TCGACTCCGAGGTGACATGGTCCTTGAGTTACAGTCGTTATCCGCTCCTTGGTTAGCCCTAGCCCTGGCACGTCGTAGGATTGCCAAGGGATACGCACAGGGGATTGGTCAGCACGGCACAGATGAACCCTTGCGTGGTTTACTTAATTCCTTGGAGAAACGTCCACGCCCGGGGTTTTGGAATCGTGGATATCCACATACCCTACTCTTGTAGTGCCACTTGCTACCTTTTTTTTTTCCTGCTTTTTCGAGACAGAGTTTCTGGCCTCGAACTCGCAGAGATCCCCCTATGTTTGTTTGTTTGTTTATTGTTTGAAACTGTGTCTCACTTGTAGTCCTGGATGGCCTGCAGTTCATATTGTAGACCAGGCTGGCCCTGAACTCAATGAAATCAGCCAGCCTCTGCCTTGTGAGTGTTCGAATCAAAGGCGTGCGTCTCACACCTGGCAGTTTTGTTTTTTTCAGAGTTTCATGCTATGTATCCTAGGCTGGCCTCCAACTTGTCACATTCCTGCCCCATTCTCCTGAGTGGTGGAATTAAGGGCATGGGCTCTTGACATTTAGAGGTATTTATGTCCATTTTCTGGCATGCAAAAGGCAGATCTGGAGCACAGGTCTTAGTTTTGTTTTGTTTTGCTTTTTGAGGCAGGGTTTCTCTGTAGCTTTGGAGCCTGTCCTCGATCTGAAGAACAGGCAGGCCTCGAACTCACAGAGATCCTGTCTCTGGCTCCCAAGTGCTGGGATTAAAGGCGTGCACCACCACTGCAGGTCGGAGCAGAGGTCTCTATTCTAAATTGACAGCTGGCAGAAACTCAGCTATAGCCCCATTATAGTGCTAGTCAAAAGCATCTCAAGGTCTATAGGTCAGAAGAGTGCCATTGCTCCTGAGCAGAGATGCTGTTGTCATTGGGTTCTGGGCCCTCTTTTTATATTTTTGAGTTATGAAGAACAGTTGGAAGCAAGATGGGTTCCAGTCTGGGATGACTGGTACCTGCTGTTCAATGTATTTTTGTGTGCCACCTTGCTCCTGCTACAGGGAGCCTGTGGTAGGTGAATAGTTTGAGCCCAAGAGTTCAAGGCTAGCCTAGGCATTCGAGTAAAACACCAAGATGAGTGCTGTGCCTTTGTGAGTTTTGTTTTGAGCAGGGTCTCATGTAGCCCAGACTGGCTTGAAACTAGGAAGTAGGCAAGAATGGCCTTGAACTTGCCATCCTCCTGCTTCTACTTCCATGATGCTAGGAATTAAACCTAGATTTTTTTTGTTCTTTGTTTTTGTTTTGTTTTGTTTTTATTTTAAAGACAGGATTTCTTTGTAGTTTTGGAGCCTGTCCAGGAACTCACTCTGTAGACCATGCTAGCTGGAACTTACAGAGATCCTCCTGCCTCTGTCTCCTGAGTATTGGGATTAAAGGCTTATGCCACCACCACCGGGCT